GTCCTTTTTTATCTGCATCCCCTCCAGCACTGGTTGTTCTTTTTAATGTCTCTGTGGTGTGAGATGATATCTTATTGTTTTTTGATTTGCATCTCCCTGATAATTAGTGATGTAGAGCACATTTTCTGTGCCTTTTGGCCATTTGCATTTATTTTTTTTTGAGGATGTTTCTGTTCATCTATTCTCTTCATTCTTTGATGGGGTTGAATTATTTTTTCTTGTCAAATTCTGCCAGTGCCTTATATATATTGAAAATTAATCCTTTATCAGATGAGTGTTGGGTAAATATTTTTTCCCATTCTGTGGGCTGTTTTTGTATCCTGGTTTTTGTTTTCCTTAAAGTACAAAAGATTTTTCAACAAAAGTAAAGACAAAAACCATGTGATCATATCAATAGATGCAGAGAAAGCTTTTGACAAGATTCAGCACCTGTTTATGATGAAAACTCTCACCAAAATGGGTTTTGAAGGTACTTTCCTCAAGATAGTCAAAGCCATCTATGACAAACCCCTGGCAAGCACACTCAATGGGGAAAAATTAAGAGCCTTTCCTCTAAAATCAGGTACAAGACAAGGATGCCTATTATCACCAATTCTGTCCAATATAGTACTGGATGTACTTGAAGTAGCAATTAGGCAAGAAAAAGACATTAAAGGCATCCAGATAAGAAAGAAAGAAATCAAGCTCTCACTATTCGCAGATGATATGATACTATATCTCAAGAATCCTAAATCCTCTAAAAGAAACTCCTAGAAACAATAGACTTGTACAGTAAAGTTGTAGGCTGAAAAATCAATGCCCCAAAATCCATGGTCTTCCTATATGCAAATAATGAGACAGAGGAAAGTGACATAAAAAAAAAATCCTGTTCACAATTGTGCCCCAGAAAATCAAATACCTCAGAATCAGCCTAACTAAAGAGGTAAAGGACCTCTACAATAGAAACTACAAAACACTACTCCATGAAATAAAAGAGGACATGAGGAAATGGAAACATATCCCCTGCTCATGGATAGGAAGAATCAACATTGTCAAAATGGCAACACTCCCCAAAGCATTATAGAGATTCAATGCGATTCCTATAAGGATACCCATGAAATTCTTCAAAAAATAGATCAAGCATTCCTAAAATTCATATGAAACAACAAAAATCCACAAATAGCTAAAGCAATTCTTGGGAAAAAGACGTGGGGAGGCATTAACCTCCCCAACATCAAACACTACTACAAAGCAGTGATAATTAAAACAGCATGGTACTTAGAACAAAGGCAGGGCCACAGACCAATGGAACAGGGTGGAATATCCATACATGCAACCCCAAATATATGAACATCTGATCTTTGATAAGGGAGCAAGAAATGTGTAGTGGAGTAAGGAAAGCCTCTTCAACAAATGGTGCTGGCATAACTGGACAACCATATGCAAAAAATGGGCTTAGACCTCGATCTAACACCATGCACAAAAGTCAGATCAAAATGGATTAAAGATCTCAACATCAGGCCCAAAATCCATAAGGTACATTAAAGACAAGGTTTGCAAAACCCTACATGATATTCAGGCTAACGGTATCTTCAAAGAAGACACTCCACTGACCAATCAAGTGGAAACAAAGATAATCAAATGGGACTATGTTAAACTACGAAGCTTCTGCACCTCAAAAGATATAGTGACCAGAATACAAAGACAATCTACAGAATGGGAAAGGATATTCACCCAGTACCCAACTGATAAGGGGTTGATATCAAGGATATACAAAGCACTGGTTGAACTCCACAAGAAGAAAACATCCAACCCCATCAAAAAATGGGATGATGAAATAAACAGAAACTTTCTCAAAGAAGAAATTCGAATGGCTAGAAAGGCACATGAGAAAATGCTCTAATCACTAGTGAGGTGATGAGGGAGATGCAGATCAAAACAACAATGAGATATCATCACACACCACAAAGACTGGCCCACATTCCCGAGAACAAAAGCAACCAGTGCTGGCGCGGATGTGGCGAGACAGGGACTCTCCTTCACTGCTAGGGGGAATGCTTACTGGTTCAGCCCTTTTGGAAAACAGTACGGACGATTCTCAAAAAATTAGAAATTGAGCTCCCATTTGACCCAGCAATAGCACTCCTGGGAATATATCCCGGAGGGGCAAAAAAGTATAGTAGAAGTGACATCTGCACTTCTGTGTTCATTGCTGCGCTGTTCATAATAGCCAAAATCTGGAAAAAACCCGAGTGCCCGAGAACAGATGACTGATTAAAGAAACTTTGGTACATCTACACAATGGAGCACTATGTAGCTGTTAGAAAAGATGAAGTCATGAAATTTACATACAAGTGGTACTACATGGAAAGTATCATGTTAAGCGAAATGAGTCAGAAAAAGAGGGACAGACATAGGAAGATTGCATTCATCTGGGGAATATAAAGTAACAAAATAGGAGACTAACATCCAAGAATAGTCGAGGTTAGTTCCAGGAGGTTCACTCCATGCCTTGGAGGCCAGCCGCACAAGCTAGGTTGATGTTTGCTTCATTGCAACTGTTTGGTAGTGTTTGTGTTTCTTCAATTTCCTGGAAGAGCTTGAAAGGGATTGACAGTAGGTCTGCTTTAAAGCTTGAAAGGATTCACTAGTGAATTCATCTGGGGTTAGGCTTTTGTTTTGGGAAGACTTTTGATTACCATTTTAATTTCCTTGATAGTTATAGGTCTTTTCAAGTATTACAAATCATCTTGATTTAGCCTTGAGAGATTATAGGAGTCCAGGAATTTATCCATTTCTTCTAGGTTCTCTCATTTCACGGCATAAAGATTCTCAAAGTAATCTCTGATGATCCTTTAGATTTCTGTGGGTTTTGTCCCTCCTTCCATTTCTGGTTCGGTTTATTAGGGTTCTCTCTCTTTCTTTGTGAGTCTTGCTACTGGTTTATCAGTCTTGTTTATTTGTTTAAAGAACCAGCTCTTGATTTAATTGATCTTTTGGATTTTTTAATATCAGCTTATTAATTTCTACTTGAAGATTTATTATTTCCCTCATCCTGCCTGCTTTAGGCTTCCTTTGTTGCTCCTTTTCCAGTTTCTTAAGTTGTGCAGTCAAGATACTTATGTGGGTTTGTCCTTCCTGATGAATGCTTGCATAGCAATGAACTTTCCTCTTAATACCCCTCTTACTATATCCTACAAGTTCTGGTAGGTAGTGTCCCCATTCTCATTTGTTCATTTAATTTCCTCTTTGACTTCCTTTGTGACCCACAGATTGTTCAGTAATGAGCTATTTAATTTATAGGTGTTTCTCCATTTCTCTTTGAGATTAACTTATACTGTCAGATACATTATTGTCTGAGAAGATAGTTGATATGATTGCTGTACTCTTTTTTTTTTTTTTTTTTTTTTATTTTTTTTTATTAGTGAAAAACCATGAGGTACAGTTATAGGCTTACAAATTTTGTGCTTGGGTTTCAGTTATACAATGATCAAGTCCCCATACCTCCACCAGTGCCCGTCATCCATCCCCATGGGTCCCAGCATCCCCCCCCTCATCCCCCCCCCCCCGTCCCATCCTGCCTCTGTGGCAGGGTATTCCCCCTTGTTCTCTCTCTCTTCTTTTGGGTACTGTGTTTTGCAAGAGAGGCTTTGAGTGGCAATCATGTTTGGTCTATCGACTACTTTTAGCATGCTTCTCCCACCCTGGGAGGGCCCTCACAACACCCTTCATTTGGTAATCTCTTCTCTATCTGAGCTTCCTTTTCACCTAGAGCCTGTGGCTGGCCTTCCATTCATGGAGCAAAATTCCTGGTACTAATCTCAGCCATTCCTGTGTGTCACTCTCACTTTTTGTTGCTTTATGTTCCCCAGATGAATGCAATCTTTCTGTGTCTATCCCGCTCTTTCTGACTCATTTCGCTTAACATGATACTTTCCATGTAGTACCACTTGTATGTAAATTTCATAACTTCATCTTTTCTAACAGCTACATAGTATTCCATTGTGTAAATGTACCAAAGTTTCTTTAACCAGTCATCTGTTCTTGGGCACTCAGGTTTTTTCCAGATTCTGGCTATTGTAAAGAGTGCTGCAATGAACAAACAATTGCAGATGTCACTTTGACTATACCTTTTTGCCTCTCTGGGATATATTCCCAGGAGTGCTATAGCTGGGTCAAATGGCAGATCAAATTCTAATTTTTTGAGAATCGTCCATACTGTTTTCCAAAAGGGTTGGACCAGCCGGCATTCCCACCAGCAGTGAAGGAGGGTCCCTTTCTCGCCACATCCGCGCCAGCACCGGTTGCTTTTGTTCTTGTGGATGTGGGTGATTGCTGTACTCTTGACTTTGTGGAGATATGTTTTATGTCCTAGTGTGTTTCTTACACATTTTAAAAGAAAAATACCTTGTTTGAAAAATGATATGGATCATTCATCTTTTTTAAGACTACTCTTAAAAAGACTAATCTTAACAACTACCAGGGTCCAAATTAATAAATTAGCCTGCCCAAGGGCAATGGCTAGTAAATAACTGAGCTTAAACCAGAGCCAAGTTTCCTGACTCCCAGTTCAGTGCCGTATTCACCATATTTTAGTTTCTGTGCTCATTTTTGGAGGAAAAATGCTCGACCAAGGCAGAAATGAGTCTTTGCAGCAAACAGCTTGATGCTTTTGGAGGTGGTCAGCTTTGCCTAAGATCTGCTACTATTTTCAGCTCTCAGTTTGCTCAGAACTAAATAGTGCCAGCCATACAAATAAAAAGCAAGGCTATTATTTAGGCCTCCTAGGTCTGTACATTCGTTCTCTGCTTGCAGGGGAAAATTATTAGTTCTTCTCTGCTGGACAGTTTGAACATAGGATTATACTAGCCCTTGTCTTAGCCCTTATACATAAGTCTGCTGGTGTGTCTGTTATAAGAAATGCACAAGCCTTTCTTTCAGGTTGAGAGAAGAGGGAATGAAAGCAACCTAAATCAGTCTCTGCTGATTTCTAATGCTGTTTTTTTCTATTTGTCTTTTAGGGTGATGAGGAAGAACTCAGGTAAGATAACATTACTGCTGCCTGTCTATTCTCAGAATTGATGTAGAATGACATTCGTGGCCTTTTAATGCCCTGTGAAATATGAACAGCCAAGGAACAGCACAGAAAATGGATCTCCATCTTAAGCCAGGGCTTTGAAGATCTTATTTTGTAAGACTCCCATCTCCTTTCCCATCTGTGTCATTTCCTGCCTGTAACCTTCAGATAAAAGTAGACTTTAAAGTACGTAATGACAGCAACTTTGCTTTATTCTTTAGCACATTCTGAATGCCTTGTTAAGAAGAGTAGGTACCATGTTTGAATGGTAATTAGACCATCAGGTGGACTGACTAGATAAACTTTCGCATTATTCTTTCTTGATTAAAATTGGATTTCTTTTATTTAATGGCCTCTAGTTCCAGTACTCTTTATTTCTCACCAATAAAGTCTTTATATCTGACTCAAGACACCTGTACAGTGAAATCCTGGGTCATAGGTTTACAAAACTTTGTTCAGGGAAAAATGCTCCTTTATGCTTCTGCATCACCACACGAAATTTAAAAGTGCATTTATTATTGCCTCAGCCTTGCAGTGAATCTGCCGATCAGGAAATTTTCTTTTCTGACGTTCTGTTTCAGGCATTGAGAACAGGCTCTAGATAGTGCCGCAGTACAATCAAGAAGCATTTGTACAATGTTAAATGCATGGTCCAGATTGGTTCCTACTGACACATATGATCGAGGACTGTTAAGTGTTGGAGGTGATTGGAAAGACCATCCAAGCCACTGCTATTCAAACTTTAATATTAGCAGGATCATCATCTCTGAAATGGGCTTTAAGTAGAATCTCAGTCTATAAAAACAAGGTTTTTAATTGAAGTTGTGAGCCACATATTCTCTCTTTGTTACAATAGATCCTGTGTAACTTCTGCAGAAAACTGGAGTTCCTAAAAAATTCCTTTTGATGTGATCTGGGAAGCAGGTGTTTCAGGGTGGAACACTGGCATAATGGTTCCAGGATCCTGACACTAGTGCTTGGCATGGTGTAGCAACACAGAAAATATAAAACAGTGATGATGTAAAAATAATGGTGCTGGTATCATCCACATCATTGCTGTAAGCCAATTTAAAAAAATCCTTCTGTTTGAAAATACCTCACCTTGTTCAAGTTTCTCACTGAAAGAAACTAAATTAATTGTCCAAACATATGGTAGGACAGCCAGGACGTTTCCTTTCTTGACTTTATTTACACACTAACAAATAATGCTCCATCTTATTTAATTGTAGGTTTGAAGGTTTATTTTGTGGGGGCCTGAGAGGGAAGGGAGGTGGGCACTGTTGGGGAAGGGCAGCGGTTGCCACATCTGGTGGTACACAGGGGTTATTGCTGAGGTCACTCCTGGCTCTGTGGTCCCTCTCTGGGCACGCGCAGCTAGAAACAGCCCCTAGACAGCCGGTTTTCAACCCCTGATCTGCGTGGGATGGGCACAGAGGCCCAGCTCTGGGCAACAAAGCTGAACGGCTCCAATTCCAACAGGTACAGCCCGCCCCCAAGGGCCTGGGTCCCTCTCTGGGCACGCGCAGCTAGAAACAGCCCCTAGACAGCCGGTTTTCAACCCCTGATCTGCGTGGGATGGGCACAGAGGCCCAGCTCTGGGCAACAAAGCTGAACGGCTCCAATTCCAAACAGGAGACCTTCCCAACTCCTCGCCCAGTGCCAGGGACTCTTTCCGGAGCCGCGGCCGCTTATGCGGCCGCGAAATATTTTCCCACTACATATGCCATAGGAACCATAAGCTAACTTCTTAGATGGAAACTTCTCTATTTTAGCTCAGCCACTAGAAACACAGTAGCCAATAACTCATAAACCTATCTTAACTCACACTGCATATCAAGCAGAATAGTAACAGTGAACGTGAAGGACTAAACCACACCTCTCACAATGGTAAAGCAACGCAAAAGCCCACCAAACTTTCAAATTGAAGAGTCTAGCCCAGATGACACCAACAGTACTGTAGTGTTAGACAACCTCTCTGACAAGGAATTCAGGAGGGAGCTTCTTAGGATGCTTAGGGAATTAAAAGAAACAACGGAAAGCAATGCCAATAGAAGACAAGAGGATCTGAAGGCAGAAATGAGGAAAATGCAATCAGAAATATCAGACCTGAAAAATCTCGTAGGCGAATTTAAAAGCTCAGTGGAAGGCCTCAGCAGCAGAGTAACAGCTGCTGAGAACAGAATCAGTGAACTCGAAGACGAAGTTCAGAGACTCTCCAGAAAAGAGCAGAAAATGGAAAAGAGACTCACAATTCGGGAACAGATGGCAAGAGAAGATCGTGATGAAGCCAAGAGGGGTAACATAAGAATTATTGGAGTCCCAGAGGGACAGGAAGAAAACCTCGATGAAGAAGAAACTGTCAAAGAAATCATTGCTACAACATTTCCAGAGCTGAAGAAAACTTCTGACCACATTCAGGAGGCTCGAAGGGTACCAGCTAGAAGAAATCCGAATAAAAATACCCCAAGACACATTCTGATCAAAATGACCAAAACCTTAGACAGAGACAAAATTCTGAAAGCAGCAAGATCGAAGAAAGAAATCTCTTACAAAGGAGCATCCTTAAAATTCACAGCTGATTTTTCTGATGAAACCCTCATGGCCCGAAAACAGTGGTGGGACATAGTAAAAAAACTCAATGAAATAAATGCCTCCCCAAAAATACTTTTCCCAGCAAGACTCTCATTCATAATAGAAGGAACAACACACAGTTTCACAGACAAACAACAGCTCAGGAACTTCATAGACTCAAAACCATGGTTACAAGAACAACTAAATGGGCTACTTTAAGGCAAGAAAGACCCCTCAAATACACCAAATTTTAACAGAACAATGGGACAAAATCCCATAACACTAATCTCTCTCAATGTCAATGGGCTAAACGCACCAATTAAAAGACATAGAGTGGCAGGATGGATTAGAAAATTGAACCCAACATTCTGCTGCCTGCAAGAAACGCATCTCAATAGTCAAAGCAAACACAGACTCAGAGTCAAAGGCTGGAAAACAATCCTACAGGCAAACAGCTCCCATAAAAAAGCTGGGGTAGCCATCCTTATATCAGACCACATCGATTTCAGAGTGAGGAAGGTCATAAGAGACAGTGAAGGCCATTTCTTATTGATCAGAGGATCTGTACAACAGGAAGAACTTACAATAATAAATGTATATGCACCTAATGAGAGACCAGCAAAGTACTTAAAACAACTACTCATAGATTTGGAAAAAGACATCAATAGCAACACAATACTAGTGGGAGACTTCAACACTGCTTTGTCACCTCTTGATAGATCAACCAGACTCAAGCTTAGCAAGGACATACTTCATTTGAGGGAAACAATGGAAGAAAGGGACTTAGTAGATATATACAGGACACTTCATCCACAAAAAGCTGAATACACATTCTTCTCAAGCGTACATGGAACATTCTCCAAGATAGACCACATGCTGAGCCACAAAACATGCCTCCATAAAATTAAGAAGGTAGAGATTGTATCAACAATCTTCTCAGACCATAATGCGCTGAAATTAGAAGTAAATCACACACAAAAACAGAAAACTAAATCAAACACCTGGAAATTAAACAGTGCACTATTGAACAACAAGTGGATTAGACAGGAAATCAAAGAGGAAATCAAAAGATTCCTAGAAACGAATGAAAATGAGAACACGAGTTACCAAAACTTATGGGACACAGCAAAAGCTGTGTTAAGAGGAAAGTTTATAGCTCTACAAGCATTCCTCAGGAAGGAGGAGCGAGCACACATAAATAACCTAACCTCACAGCTTAAGAGCTTGGAGAAGGACCAAAAAAAGGAGCACAACCCGAACAGGAGAAAGGAAATAATAAAACTCAGAGCAGAGATTAACGAGATGGAAACCCAAAAAACAATCCGAAAGATCAATGAAACCAAAAGCTGTTTCTTCGAGAAAATTAACAAGATTGATAAGCCTCTAGCAAAACTCACAAAGAAAGGGAGAGAGAAAACCCTAATAAACCGAATCAGAAATGAAAAGGGGGTCATTACAACAGAAACCACAGAAATTCAGAGGATCCTCAGGGAGTACTTTGAGAAGCTTTATGCCACGGAACATCAAAACCTCGAGGAAATGGATAAATTCCTAGACTCCTACAGACTCCCAAGGCTGAACCAAGAAGACCTGGAATACCTGAACAGACCTATCACCATCAAGGAAATTGAAATGGTAATAAAAAGTCTCCCCAAGCACAAAAGTCCTGGCCCGGATGGATTCACTAGTGAATTCTTCCAAATCTTTAAAGAGGACTTACTCCCGATGCTCTTTAAGCTTTTCCACGAAATTGAAATATCAAAAACACTTCCAAACAGTTTCTACGAAGCAAATATCACACTGATACCAAAAGCAGACAGAGATACCACAAAGAAAGAGAATTACAGGCCGATATCCCTGATGAACACAGATGCAAAGATCCTCAACAAACTACTAGCAAATAGAATCCAACTACTCATCAAAAAGATCATACACCATGACCAAGTAGGATTCATCCCAGGGATGCAAGGATGGTTTAACATTCGGAAATCAATCAACATAATCCACCATATCAACAAAAGAAAAGATAAAAAGCATATGATCATATCAATAGATGCAGAGAAAGCATTTGATAAGATCCAGCACCCCTTTATGATGAAAACCCTAGCCAAAATGAGTATAGAGAGGACCTTCCTCAACATAATTAAAGCCATCTACCACAAGCCTACAGCAAGCATCATCCTCAATGGGGAAAAACTGAGAGCCTTCCCTCTAAGATCAGGGACGAGACAGGGATGCCCACTCTCTCCACTGCTGTTCAATATAGTACTGGAAGTACTTGCAATAGCGATTAGGCAGGAAAAAGATATTAAGGGCATTCAGGTAGGAAAGGAAGAAATCAAGCTCTCACTATTCGCAGATGATATGATACTCTACTTAGAGAACCCAATAACTTCCACCAAAAAACTCCTAGAAACAATATACTCGTATAGTAAAGTTGCAGGTTATAAAATCAATACCCAAAAGTCCATGGCTTTCCTATACGCAAACAGTGAGAGAGAAGAAAGCAACATGAAAAAAACAATCCCATTCACAATTGTGCCCCAGAAAATCAAGTACTTAGGAATCAGCTTAACTAAGGAAGTAAAGGACCTGTACAAAGAAAACTACAAAACGCTACTTCAGGAAATAAAAGAGGACATGAGGAAATGGAAAGATATCCCCTGCTCATGGGTCGGGAGACTTAACATTGTCAAAATGGCAATACTACCGAAAGCATTGTATAAATTCAATGCAATCCCTATAAGGATACCCATGACATTCTTCAAAGAAATGGAGCAAACACTCTTGAAATTTATATGGAACAATAAGCCCCCACGAATAGCTAAAGCAATTCTTGGGAAAAAGAAAATGGGAGGAATCAACCTCCCTAACTTCAAACTGTACTACAAAGCAGTAATAATTAAAACAGCATGGTACTGGAACAAAGGCAGAACTGCAGACCAATGGAACCGGGTTGAATACACTGACATCTCTCCTCAATCATATGCTCATCTAATCTTTCTTTGATAAAGGTG